AACCAAAACCAGCCCTAGAGGAGGAGGATTTTTTTTACTCCTCTTATCTATTTTACTACTGAAATAACAAGAGTAGGGTTATCATTCTCTTTTTTTGATTAGTCCTGGTATATCTCCTGCCAATGCTTGCTTTTTTGTCCTCCATGCGTTCGCGTTAAATATTCCATATGTCTTGATATTAAGAGAATGGCAAACATACTCCATCGCTCCTCCTGCTCTTAATACATCCCGATAATGATAATTAGCAAAACCTTTATCATTTCCTGCTAATTGTTTATTGTCCTCAAAGATAAATAATGATGGTTTATGCTGTTCTAATAACTTTTTGCCATCGTCAACATGCTTAACTCAATTTTTATCCTCGCAAGTCCAAAAATCATAACTACAACCGCCCAATCATAGGAAGTATCCTGTTATTTTTGTTGCCCCTTGGTCGCAACTGATAATCATAGATTAATTTTATCGGCGGGGTTGTTGTCTCGGCTTTTTTCCCGCTGGGGCTATTCTCTTTTTTCGAAGCGGGTTTCTGTAAAAACTTTTTTAGAGAATATTCCGCCCCGATTGGGGCAAATATCAAAAAAAATATAAACCTAATTTTCAATTGAAGTTTATGGCAACGCCATCACTTCGAGGAAAATTAATATTATTTTTTCAATTTTTTCCCCAAAGTTCGTCCTAACTCAAATAAGAGTAAGAAACGAACGAAAAAAAGAATAACCGCCGAAAATATTTTTTTTAGTCAGGGTTTAGGTTCTCGGTCGTGCGTAATATATGAGGGTGTTATAATATTATGTTTTCCTTATACTTTTGCTTGGTTTTTTGTTTGCTTTTTATTGGTTCACTTAAAATTATATCTAACTAATAAAAACCAAGTAAAAAATACGATAAAAACATTGTTTCCGTCTATATGTTAGATTTTTATTGTTCCGACTGTTCCGAGTAATTAATTCGCCTACTGCGTAATTGCTTATTTTCTTTATCTTACGCAATGGGCGTTAATAAAATTATTATTCCAACTGCTATATATTAATGGTATAGAATGGCATAAAGTAAATATCCATATGGGCGGTGGTGAATTGTTTGGTTTTGCTTATAATTAGCGTCCTATTTTTCTCTTTCCGCGATGACCTACTACTTTTCTTTTATGGTCTCGGGCTTGGGGTCGTTCGGTAATGGTTTGTCGGTTGGAAGTAGGAAGGGGGTGATGTCCCATATAAACATCGTCGTCTTGCTTTGGTTTGCGTTCTCCTACTTTTGCTATTAAGATTTCACCCTCTTTTACCTCGTAAAATATTTCATAAATGGCTCGGTGTTTGTCAATGTGGTATCCCCAAAAACCTTTTCACCTACCTTTTAAAGGATAACCATTTACGGCGGGATTAGTGGCTAAATGATTATCTATTTGTCTTTCAATCTTTTCAGCAATTTCTCGGTTGCCAATTTCTTTTAAATCTTCTCTTGCTCTCCTTCTCCAACTTACTTTATATCTCACTACTTTTTATATTTTGGCTCTTTCTCTTGCTTCCTTGGCGTCGTAATATTCTTTGATTTCTTTTCTTACTTCCTCGCTAGTATAATATTTAACTTTGCCTACTTTTTTTTCCTCAATATACTCCTCAATATCTCTCGCATCCTCCATATATTCAAAATATCTAAATAATGCTTCTGAGATATGATATTCGCGTGGGGTTTTTTTGCCTTTAAAATCCTCTTTTATATATCTTTCAGTAGTATTTTTAGCATCTCATTCATTATTCATATATCTAATCAATGCCTCTTTTATGTGATATTCACGGGGTTTTTTAGTAATTTCCTCCCAATATTTCAGTTCTTTTTCGATATATTTTTCGGCTTTTTCAGTTAAACCTTCTAATTTTAAAGTTAAAGTTAGCATGATATTATTTATTAATTTATTATATTATAATTTTAATCAAATGTTTAATCAAAATTATTTATTCAACTTTAAACTTTATCTCTCCTTGTTTTTCATCTTTTATCTCAACAATATTTTCGGGCATTAATGCCAATCGGTAAACAGCAAAAGAACGCCCGCCCGTATTGTTTACCGCTTCGCTTAATTTTCCAAATATTATTAATACTCGGTTAGGTCGTAATTGTTCTTTAAGGTCTTTTCAAGTCGGATAGATGTTTTTGTTAAATATCAATTGTAATCTCTCCCGTTCTTTTTCATTCGGGTTTATGCCTGTTTCCGCTCATGATTGCGGAAAAACTTTGGCTCAGATGTAAATATAATCGGCTTCCTCCGCCTGATTGCTAATTACTTTTACCATTAATTTATATTCGTTGGCTAATGGGTTATTTTCTAAGGTTGAGACGGGGACGCTATTTGCCATGGTGGTTTTTTCATGGTTGGGCGTTTTCGTTAACAACTTTCGGGTCATATTTACTCTTTCATTTACCGTCATCATCTTTTATCCATTCATCAAACTCACTAAAAGAGAATATTAATAAATGGTCGCCTCCTCTTTCTAAATCTTTAAATACTTGGCGATAATGTTTATGTCCGTCCTTTTCTAATCGCTTATAAAATGCTTCCCAATCGTTTATTTTAAACTTATCGCGATTAAATGATATTCAATGGGATTTTTCCCCCTCGTATAATTGGTATCAGGTTCCGTTTTTGTTGGTGGTTCCTTTAATGGTTAATTCTCTTTCCTCGCCTCCTCTTTCCGATACTCAACATTTATCCGCATCGGTGTCATAAGTAAAGGTTAAATCGCTTAATGTTTCTCGCATGTTATTTATTTAATTGTTGTTTGCTTATTTCCTCGGGGATGCTTACTTTAATTCCTCCCGTTTTAGTCTTGTTATACTTCATAGATAATAAAATATTATGCGTGGGTTTATCTATTAAAAATAAGCGGTATTTATCCATATTATCGGGGTTGGGTTCTTTTCCTTGTCTTTTCAAACATTCCGCCAATAATTCCTTATCGGTGGCATCTCTTAAAAGAACGCCCACAATTTTTTCTTTTATTCTATTATTTGCCATCGCAATAAATTAATGTATCTTTGATATTTAATGAAAATCATATTAAACTTTTTCCCATGATATGCCCGAAATGCTTGGGTATCCAATAATTTTCAAATCTTTTCTGCGGGTCAATCTTTATCGCCCTCTAATTGCGATTTAAACGCACTTATTACCCGATATTCTTGCGGATGTTGATTGGTTAAGAATATTTGCCAATAATACGGGTCTTTGGGTTGTCATTGCTTTTCGGGATTTTCGTATAATATTTTTTTCTTGATGTCGTTTATTTCTCCGATTACTGAAAACTCTTTGGGGGTGTATTTTTTGCGTTCTTTCTTGGCTTTTCCGCTTGCCTTGGTTGGTTCTTTGGCTTCTTTTTGTTTTCCGGACACAATGGGCGGGATTTCTTTTATATTTTCTTTCTCTTTGGATTTTTCCTGATGTTGTATTTTTCCCCTTAGTTGTCTTGCCTTGGTCTTTCTCTTTGGTTTAGTTTCTACCACCTTAACCGCGTCTCGTATTTCGTCGGGTTTAATTTCCTCTACCATATTATTTTTTTCTGCCTTGTGGTTTAGTTTCCACGGCATCCCGTCGCAATTCGGTCTTATCCTGTCAACAAGTATCCAAGCAATATCATTTATTATCATCTTTGAGTTTCTGCATATTTTCCGTTCTTTTTCTAGTTAAACATTCCTCACATCTTTCAACTGACGGGCAATTTTTATGTTTTCCGCCTTTAACTTGTAATATGGCAGTGTAAAATGGCTGGCGTTGGTCTAAATAGGTTCCGCCTTCTTTTTTTAATTCGCTGGCGTTATCGTCTACACCAACAATAAAATTATTTTCTGCTAAATCGTTATTGTCAAATTGAACTTTACAATTATAACAATCAAAATCCTTTAATATTTCTTTTTTGTTGAAGGTCAAATATTCAATGTTTAAGTTTAATGTTCCCATATTTTTAAATTATTCTTTACTATTTTTATCTCCCATTTTATTTATCGCTTCTTGGCGGGCTTTTTCCTCCGCTTGTTCTTGCTCTAATTTCATTCTTTCAACACAATCTTTACAAGTATATTTATTCGTGGCGTAATCATATTCGCAATTATCAAGATTTTTAAACTGTTTACACTCAACGCATTCCACTTTTTTTAACTCCTCTTTGGAATACTCGCCAAATGTTCCGCTTGTTAAGTCCTCGTTTTTCGTCATCGTCTCATTAATATAACTTTTCCCAACTCCTCGCGATGCGGTAAAGGTTGGTCTATTCTTGGGGTCGGCTTTAACTGTCGCACATTTAACGCATAAATGCCCCGTCGCAATCTTTACTCCGCATTGTCAACATTGCGGGGGTTTTCCTCCGTATTCTTGCCATTTTTCGTCCTTTTTCCCTCCCCTATGGTCTAAATTAATTATCACTTGTCCTGCTTTATATTCTATGGCTTTTATTCCCAAATTATCTAAATTAACAAAATGAGAGATGGTTGCCAAATGATACTTTAATATTGCGTTTTCTTTTTCTAATTCTAATATTTTTTCTTGTTCTTTCATGGTTTTTAATAGTTAATTTCGGGGGTTTTTCATAGTCGGCTATAATCGTTATAAATATAATCAAAATCATTCTGAATATAAGTTTCCGTGGTGGTAATGCTTTCGTGTCCTAATAATCTCTGAATAGTAGTTAATTGAGTGCCTTTGTTATGAAGTAAGGTGGCAAATGACCTCCTAAAAGAATGAGGAGTAATTAATTTATTCATCCCCGCCTTTTTAATTCTTTGCTGAATAATTTGTCTGATTACTAATGGGGATAAAGGTTTTTGCTTTTGATTAGTAAAAAAATAATCATTAGAATTAGCATTAAAATAACTAACTAAAAAAGGAGGTAATAATACTGGTCTAATCTTATTTCCTTTCCCATGAACTCGTAAACTTTTACCCGTTCAATCGCTATAACGAATATTTACTAATTCACTAACTCTCAATCCCGAATAAAAAAGAAAATCAAGAATTAAGTTATTTCGTTGATAAGTCTTTTGGTTTCTTTCAGGTTTCATTTGTTTTAACAATTCTAATTCCTTTAAATTAAGATTGTTAAAAAGAGGTCGGCTTGTCTTGGGAATAATCCCGTTTATTCGGTCTCATTCTATCTCTAATCTCTTAAATCTAGCATAAGAGGATAAAGATTGTCGGAATATTTTTAAGGTGTTAGGTTGATACTTAGTTAAATTGGCTTTTAAGTAAGTCCGAATGGCTTCCGTAGTGATGGGTTGATTGAATTGTTGTAAATATTGAGTGTAAATCTTGATAGTATTTGGGCTTCGGTTTCGGTCTTTTAGTCAGTTAATATAATTGGTTAAGTCTTTCATGTTATTTAGTTTCCTTTTTTTCTTTCTCTATCTCTTTCTGACAGTTAGCACATATTCAACTTTTATCAATTTGGACGGCTCCTAGTTTGAAAATATGCTGACCGATAGCTATTTTTTGGCAGTTAGGATAATTAAATTGACAAGTTTTTTTATTTTCTTTATCTGTGCCTTTCATATTGTTTATTTGTTTTTTTTGCTTAATATTCTTTATTCTTGGTCTTTTTTTCTAGTTAAGAAGTAATAAATTATTCCAACTAATCCAACTATTCCTAATCCTCCTAATATTCAAGGTAGATAAGATTTATTGGGTTGTTGGGTGTTTTGGTTTTCTAAATTGGCTAATTCTGTTTTTTTTGCTTGTAATTCTTGTTCTTGTTCGGCGGTTCTATTGGTTATATCCTCTAATTTCTTTATTTCAGTTTTTAATTTTGCTCTCTCTCTCTCTCTCTCTCTCTCTACTGTCATCATCACCATTATTACCATGTTTTCGCTCGCATTCTGCCGAACAATAATCCATATCTCGCTTTTCTTGGTTGGCGTAATCCTCCCATCATTTTTTACAAGTATGACAATTGCCCGTGCTTTCCATCTGCCCCCCCGTTCACTCACTATCGCCTATATTACGACCAAACTTCATTTTTCAAACTACTATTTTTCTTTCAAATCCATATTTGCCTTTGTTTTTTATTACATACGCTTTATAACTCTCTTTGTTCTTTTTTCAGCAATCAAGACATAAATAAAACTTTTCGCTTTCGTTATGATTTCGTGCTATTTCATCACCAATATTAATACTGTAATACGGATGACCTTCTTTTTTTCCTAATTTCTCTAAATCTGTTTTATTACAATCTTTACAATGTTGTTTATTTTCTGACATACTTTTATATTCTAACTAAAAATTAAATCTTTTAATTTAGTTTCTACTTCTTTGACAATTTTTTCGGGCATTACTCCTACTTTTCTAATTAATCGTTTATTTTTATCGAAGTTTCTTATTTGGTCGCACATAATTTTTCCATCTTGGTTATTCACTCGCACTTTTATTTCTCATCCGTCATAAAAAGGGTTGAGAGTTCGCGAAAGAGGAACGGCAATAACTCGGTTATTTTTTTCATTCTGTCAATCTTTACTAATAATTAGGGCTGGTCGGGGTTTATCGGGATGTTTACTACTGCTATATATTTCCGTTCCCATGGTTTCCTCCTTTTTATAACGAATTAACCAAACTTCGCCTCTTTTAACTGAAATTTCACTCACTTTCTTTTTTTAAGTCCTCCCAATCATCCTCATCGCTCACTTTGTCCCATCATTCTATTTCTTTTTCTCTTTCTTTATCTTGGCTGGCTAATTCTCAATCTCTTTTTCACTTTTCCTCCGTGGTTAATTCTTTATTGACCTCGTATATTTGGTAATCGGCTTCGGCTTGGTTAAGAATATCCTTGATTTGTTGGAGAACTACATTGGCTTCAACTCCTCCTTTTTTTGGCTCAAAAATTATTATTTCTTTCATATATAAAGTTTTTAATTAATTTTTCAATTGATAATTTGATTACAAAATAAATAACTATTAATAAAAAAGTTATAAAGTTAAATTAAGTTTAATTTTGTAAAGGATATTGTGATAAATATGTTGTCTACTTTCAAAATCGGCAAACTTCAATCATCTAATATTAATGTCCTCCAAAAACTCCCGCACTAGGTCGCGGGTTTCTTTGCGGTCAAGAAGTCTTTTATTTCGCATATTAGAAATATTATAATCCTCATTAGTTAAGCATATTTCCTCGGTTCATCTTGGGACGGGAATTTTGCTATTACTTTCCGCAATAAAAAACTTCTTGCCTGTTCGTAATACTCGGCAATATAAAAGTCCTTGAAGTTTATAAAGGATTTGGTAATTGTCGGGTATTTTTATCATATTCAACGCTTCCTCACTTAAAAAGAAATTCCCCCATTCTTTCTCAAATAACTCTCTTTTGTGTTCGGTAGCATGTAAATATAATAAACTAGGTTCCATCTCTCCCCGCAAATTTTCCTCCATTACTTCTATCCTGACAACTTTTTCTTTTCATAATTTCTCCTTGATTTCTTTTAGGCTATCCGATAAGTATTTATTAAATGGTCGCATAAATGCCCCAAAGCGGTCGTAGGGATTGGCAATAAATATTTTTCTTGGCAATCGTTTCTTTAAGTTTCCGCGTTCCCGTCAAGCACTACCATATAATTCATCAAACAAAACATCCTCATCGTCTAAATACTTTAAATTGGTTTTGTCCTTACCTTTGGGGTTCGGTATCGCTTCATCCATAAAAATATCGGTGTTTTTATCCAATAACTCACGGGCATCCTCACTTTTATACAATTCGATAAAGTGTAATCTCATGCTTTTTTTATACTTAATGCCACGGGTTATGGTTTCTCATACTTCCTCAAAATCTTTCCGTGATATTTTTTTATTAGAATACTCAAAACAATATTTATCCAATATTTTCCGTCAAGGTTCTAAACTAGATTTACGAATATTATCAAAATTACGCCTTAACCATATTAATTCCCTATCAGTCCCCGTCAATCATTCTAATATTTTTACTTTGATATTATGGCTTTTGCCCGTTCCGCGGGAAGTAATAATAATCTTGGTTAAATATTTATCCTCATCCAATAAATCACTGAACTTAATATAAACTTCTGCATATCCCTCGGGGAAAGTTAAATTATTTAAGTCATTAAGTATCTTATCCTTTCCTGTCTCAACTTTATCACTTAAATCTTTAACTGTTGCCATCTTTTATAATTTTTTCTTGTAATTTAATAACTTGGTCTTTAAGGTTGTTAATTTCCTCCCTTTGTTCGTCAATTTGTTTCTGTTCGTGTCCGTTCTTTTTTTCTAATTCTTTTATTCTACTTTCATTATGTTTATGCTTCTCCTCATGCAATCGGTCATTTTTCTCTAATTCTACGCCTTTTTTATCAAACTTAGCCTTATATCCTAAAAACATGGCAACTAATGCTAACGCAACCACGCCAATTATTAACGCACATTGAATATCAAACATAGTCTTATTTATTTCCGTTTTGCGGTTTCTGATAAATTGGTGGTTGGTCTCCTTGATAATCGGGGACATCTAAACTCTTTACCAATTTATAACTTTTGCGGGTTGAATTGCCTTGGTCGTCTCACTCTCTCTCCTCCGCAAATACCTTTATTACTTGTTCGCCTCCCGTATAGGTTAAATCGATATATCTATTATGCCAATCTACTCTTATATTATCGCCTTTTCTAAATACTTTTAACTTATTAATAAACTCCTCGGGGGTTAAATTGTCTTGTTGTGGGTTATAATGGCAATTCATTCGTCCGCCATATTCGAAGTAAATAATTTTATGAGTTTCCATGGTTTTTTAATTAATTTTTCTTATCTTTTAAGGCTTTTTCTCACTTCTCCCTTATTTCGGGTTTAATTCAGGTTTCGTTTTTCACTGCCTCCCATAACTCACACGCCTCGGGGTCGTTGATATCGGCATTATAAATTAAATCAATTCGTTTCTCTAATCTTTTTAGATAAGAATTAGCATAATCCTTTAATATTTCCTTTTGATTTTTGTTGCTTCCGTCGTTTTCCATAGTTTTATTATTCCGATTATTCCGAAACATTACGCCTCCTCCTCACCCTCTCCCTCATCCTCGGTCTCACTTTCACTCTCGCTCTCACTTTCCTTCTCCTTCTCCTTTTCTTTCTCTCGTTCTTTCTCTTTCTCCTTTTCCCGTTCTTTTTCCTTTTCTTTTTCGCTTTCGTCCTCTTGCTCGGTCTCGTCCTCTTTTTCTCCCTCTTTTTCTTTCTCATCCTCCTCCTCTTTCTCTTGTTCTCGTTCGCGTTCTTTTTCTTTATCGCGTTCGGATTGGCTTCCCTCTCCTCCCTCGGTTTCCTCCGCTTCGTAATCGTTCTCGTTTAATTCCTCGTTCTCAATAATTTCCTCCTCTAAATCGTATTCATTTTCTAACGCATCCTCATCGATGTTTTGGGTGGTTGTTTTCTTTTCTTTAAATACACTTTCTCTAATGATTTTCTTGGTTTCAACTTCGCCATGGGTCGTTAAGGTTCCTTTACTGCCATCAATGGTAATTGTAAAACTGTCGGCGGGTATGTCATGGCGGTTATCAAGTCCCGCGTTAGTATGTCAGGTAATTTCGTAGGTGTTGGCGGGTATTGAATAGGTTTTAGTCCAGGTTAAACTTGGTGGGAAGTATCACCATGTATCGCCTCTATTATAACTGGATGGATTGGTTGATAATGCAGTTAAATCACTTTCGCATAATTCCTTAAAGTAGTCGCGTTTTTCTGTTTTATTCATTATTCCACTATGTCCGCTATTAATACTACTAATCCCAAAAATACTACATATTTGAAGTCTCCCCGCGGTCGCCACATCAATCCCATCAATTTCCGCGGTGTCGCCTCGTTCTTTGATTGTTATTTCTTTTTCAATATAAGTCTCCTCCGCCTCAAATGTGTCTCACTCATTCCCTCCACTTTTTACATATCCTTCTTGCCTTTGATAACTTAATTTGGGGTTCTTTCTTTCCTCTCCGCCATCTAATCAATATCCCGCATTCATGATATCGGTAAAAAATCTATCACTGTCATTATCCAATTTAACTCCTCTCCATTTTCAATATCCTAATTTGCGGGTATCGGTTCCTTTTTCCTCGTCTTTCTTTCCTTGCGTTCAATCTATTAATGTTTCTCATTCAAGAGGTAAATATAATATCTTACACTTATTATTACATCAATTTAAATTATTGTATAATAACTCGGATAATTCAATACGATAGAAAAATAATGGTTCGGTCAATCGGCAAAAAAACTCGGCGAATGAGTAATGAAAGTCAATAGTATTTCCCGAAAACATGGCGGGTTCAATGCCTTTATTTAAACTGTCAAATAAGGTCGTTTTAAACATTCTATCACCTTGTTGGTCTTGGGTCGGGTTGGTTGCCTCCTTGGTTTCGTTGGCATCCTTTAAACTATTCACATTTATTCCGCTGGCATTTAATCCTATTCCGCATCCGATAACGCTAATGGAAGTAATAACGCGGGCAAGGTTAAAATTATCTTGAAAAGTCCCAACGCATTTAATCTCACATTTTACCGTAATATATTTAAACTCTCAACGATACATTAAAACTCCTGGGGCGTGGTTCACAAACAAAATATAAGGTAATATAAATTGGTCGGTGTCTTTCTCATACTCAATCCCTAAAAATTGCCCGTTTGCCATCATCGTTATATTATTAAATAAGTAAAATTGAAAGGTCGTATGGTCTCATAGGTGGGGTTGTTCTTTAAATCATCTCTTATAGGTCTTTCCCGCCTTTATTTCGTTCGCGGTTCTAAACTTCGCGGTCTTGTCTTTAAATAATACTTCTCTAAACTTATATTGCTTACTATAAAACGCATTTCCGTCGGTGTGTTCTCTCGCTCCAATCGTTAAGTAAACTTTCGCCCCCATGATGTCGTTTAAAACTTTAATTAATTTCGTGGTGTCCTCCTCGGTGTTGGTTAGTTTAATCGTTGGGGTGTCAACATCTACCGCCCCCAAGGTGGCAATTTTTAAAATTGATGTGCTTATTTTTCCGACAAGGTTGGGTATAACATTCACTATCTCTTTTAAGACGGCTTTGGAAAACATGAACGGCAACTCTAACATATTCCCTACCTGTTGAGATACGCCCCCTCCAAATACTTTATTAACAAACGCATCTCTTTCCGCTGGCGTGCTGGCGGGAACTTGTATTATTTTTATGTCGGATGGGATAGACAAAGTTTCCTCAGTGTTTCCGTCTCTTTCTTTTTTTTCCGCTCATGATGGGTTTCGCCTTTCGCCTCCAATTGCTTCAAATAACGCAAACTCGGGCTGGTAGGTTTCAAAATCACTTTGATATATCCGCTTAATGCCTAACTCTCCGCAAAACTCATAATGCATTCGGGAACTTTCCATTAATTTTTTGGGTCTTATAATTGTTGACATAAGCAAAATCAATAATATAAAATATAATTGTCGGCGTCATAATACCGCTAAATCGGTTCTGCCAAGGTCATAAGTTTTTTGAACTTGGTTGCTTCCCAATCCGTCTTTTTTGGTTGCCAATTGTTCCAACTGTTCCAACTCCTCGGGGTAAATGTGATTATGAACTGAATTAATAAATTCCTCGGGCTTGGTGTTCTTGCCTAACTTCTTTAAATCGGCTCGATAGTCTTTTAATATCTTTTCTTTTTCGGGGTCGGGTTTTTCCTCTGTTCTTTCGGGCTTTTCTTGATAATGCTTCACTTTACCTTTTCCTTTGTCAGGGTTAGGTTTTGTGGTGGATGGTTTGCCTGTTTTCGTCTCGGGTTCATATTCCGCCCTGGAAAACTCAATTATTTCCTCCTCCTCGTCGCGTTCATATTCGCGGTCTCCTCCGTCCGTTAATAGGTCATATAATTCGTCGTCATCAATTCTTATTCTTTCTGCTAACTTCTTTTTAATTTTTCTTATTATGTCTTGTTGGTCTCAATAGATTTCGGCGGGTTCTCCGAAACTGTTGCGGGTGTATAATTCAATCTCTCCAATTTCGTTTTTAACAATCTTACAAGAATACTTTAAAAAATTATTGTTCTCGTCGCTGTATCACTTTTTAATTGCGGTGTATCTTTGATAATGTGGTATAGTTTCATAATTACGCGTCCAACATATCCGCCCTTTTTGTGGTGTTCCTGGGATATTCTTATCATTGAACTCTATTAATGATATCTTTTGCGTTCAATGTTCCTCATTTATGCGTATATCGGCAACTGTTCGGATATAATTTGGTTGTTCGATTTTCATATTATTTGGTGTAAACTATCTTAATATTTGCTATGTCGGGGATTTGGTTTGGTCTTTCTTGTCCGTCGGTTCCTATAATTCATCCTTTAAATGCCTTGTCGTTGTCGCTATCGTAAAAATTAGGTCATTGTGCCTCGGGTGCGTCCATTAGTCATTTGTATCCCGTAATATTTTTATTTGTGTCTAATATCGCGTCTCCGCTTCTGGTTCTTACTAAATCTAACCTACTTCCGCCCGCATAATGGAAAATAAAATTAGATTTGGTGATTTCTAATTTTGTATAATTGTTAAAATCTGCTATGGGCGTTCCTTTTCCGTAGGTGTTTTTATTTATTTTGTATCCTCGTAATTTTTTAAACATTTCCGCCATATTTATATTAGTCTGTCGTAGTCCTCAGGTTTCCGTTATTAAGTATCGGCAAAAATCATCGTTAACTTGTCCCGCATATTCGCTTGTTAATGGGTCTTTGCTTAATTGTCCTGTTAACATCCCCTTTACATACTTTAACCGCTGGGCGTAGGCATACAACGGGATATTAACAAACTTGGCTCTATCTTGAACGAAATCGGGAACTTGGTCGGCATAATTGGCAGTCGCTAAATATATTGCTCCACTAATATCCACCTTGGCTCCTAAAAATTGGTCTTGTCAATCTTTACTTTTTTTGATATCTAAAACATTCCCCATCATCATCGCAAGTCCCTCGCCCGCAATCTTTTCAAACTCATCCAAAAGAACAATCGGCATTCTCATCTTTCCCACACTAAATCCTTGACATAGACGCCCGGGAAATGCCCCCTTAACTGCGGGCGTGGTTCCCTCCAATATTTCACTGTCTTTCCGTCCTCCTAGGTCAACATTTATTAAATATCAATCGGTCGCCTCACTCAATTTCTCACAAATAAAACTCTTTCCTGTTCCTGGTTTTCCTAACAATACAAAAACAGTTTTCATATTGTCGGGCAATTCATAGATACCATTTTTAATATACTCAGCAAGGTTTAAGATGTATATTTTTAATTCGGCTTTAAAATCCTCGTATCCCATTACTTCATCCATTACGGCGTCAAACTTGTTAAGGTCAGGTATTTTGGGGTCATCGGTTCAGGCTTTAATAAGTCCGTCAGCAAGGTCTTTTTGTTTATCAATCGCTAATGCGGTTAAACTTCCTACTGGTGCTTTCTCTTTCTCTTTTCTAGCTCGATAACGGGTTATATACTCTAAATAATAAGATTTAGCAACTGTTTTCCCGTCCGCTTTCATCTGTAAATATTCCCGCTCGGATATGTCGGCAATATCATCGTCTTTTTTCTTTTTCTTGGCTGGTTTACCAATATCCGCCTCCTCTGCTTCCAATTCGTCGGGGGTATATGGCACTCACTTTTTACGCATTAATCGTGTCATGATAAAACGCCCTGGCGGTGAATACATGCCGACAAACAAAAATGCAAAACTGTCAATAATCTCGGTCAAATCAAACTTAACCATTTGGAGAACACTTAAAACGCGTCCTAATCACATTCTATCTCCCTCAATTGTGGTCTTGGTGTCGCGGTCTCCTTTTTCTTTATTGTAGGTCGGTTCATATCTTACGCTGTCCCCGTCAACTACTCTCCGCCCTGTGGTTTCCTCAACTGTTATCTTTTTTTTGGCTTGCTGTTGCTGTTTTAGTAATTGGCTTCGTCCAAAAGTTTCCCCAATCATGCCCTCGCCTGGCGTATAGGGTATGTTAGTATATTCGGTAGTCTGTGGGTCGGATACTGTTTTTTTGTTCTGTTTACTGTGTTCGGTCTTAACATCAATATCTATCTCTTGGGTGGTGATAGTTTTGTATAACTCCTTATCTTTTATCTTAATTTGAGATATAATATTATCATAAACTGTCTTAATTTGCGACAATTCAATACTTTTTGCTTTCATTAACGCCAAAAACTTTCCCCTAAACTTGTTCTGAACGATAAAGATGTCATTATATCGGTAATACTGATAAACTGTATGGGATACGATAACATGGCTTAAACGCTCGCCTAATGCGGTTTCTTTATTCATGAACTCCCCGCGGTATTCTTTCCATAGGTCAGTATATATTGGTCAAATGTCAATTACTAAACTCATAAGTTAAAAGTTAATTTCCTAATTCACTTTAACCTAATTTCGCTTATGTTTTTATATTAATTTTTGTCTTTTGAAAAAAAATGTTATCACTTTATCGGGTCGTATTCGGTGTCTCTTTCTTTAACAATGTTCGCTCTGCCCGTTTCAATACAAGTATCACAAATAATATATAATTTGTTGGGGTCTAACGCCAATCCATCTAATCGGTGGAAGTTTCGGCGTTCTTGCCTGCGGTATTGTTCGCATAACTCACAAGCAAAATTATATAATTTTTGGCTTTGGGTTAATCCAATACTATTTTTAAAATCAATAACTTTCCTCTTTACATCGCTCGGCTTGTCTCCCTCTTTTACTACTCGCTTAATTTCCTCAACAACTTTCTTTTTTCTCTCTTTGTCCTCCTCGGTTGGTTTGGGTGTTTTATTTTTCTCCTCGTTATTTACCATAATATTTACTTTTTAATTCAAGAGCAATTATTTAAATGTGGTATCTTTGCTACTTTACATTCTCCGCAAATGCTCTTATATTCAACATACGCCCCATAATGCGGATGATTTGAAAAAGGACGGGTCATTACTGTTTTTCATGGCTCGCTATTATCTACTTTATGCTTTCCGTGTCATCTTTGATAATCTTTGAAAGTTAAGAATTGATGTTTATTACATATTTCACAATTTCTCGGGTCGCGGGGTTTTTCCGCTCCCATTTTAGGTTTTTTGGCTTGGGGTTGTTTTTTTAAAAACTTTCTATATTTTTTTCTTAAATCCTTTTCATCCCCATTATTTAAAACTCATTCGGGGCTATATCCGTTTAACTCTAACCAATAGGCAAAATCGGCGTCGGTGGCTTTTAGTCCAATATTTAACCAATCACGGGCAACATTTAAACTAAATCCAATCCCTCCCGCTTCTTTTCATTCTTTCGTTAATTGTTCTGTGAAGTCCGAAAATGGCACCCCATTTATCGCTCAATTTTCGTTTACCATATAAGAATTTTTTTGTTAGTCTCTTTGGGCGGTCTTTCTCTTGTTATTCTAGCTTCGCCTCGTAATGCTCGTGGGCTTTCACACTCTTTATCGTCTCCATCCTCAATATCATCGTCATCAATATCGTCAATGTCCTCGGGCTGGTCGTCAATCTCAACAATATCATCCTTGGGCGGTTTGGTTTCATCGTCCCTTGGTTCATAACATCCCTCGCATAAGTATCGGTTATTTTTTAAGTCGGCTATTAATTTATCCTCCGCAAAAAACTTCTTACATTCTCCGCAATTTATTTCTCCGCCTTTGCTATTTCTTGCCATAATATTAATATCTTTCCTCGGTGTTTCCGTATTTTAAACGATACCTTGACCGCGAACCTTGTAAACTAGCTAACTCGTTTAATACTTTTTGCCGTTCGTGTCAATGTAAATACTCTCAGGCATCAAACTCACTATTACTGATAAAAGTTTCGGGGACGCTTTGGCGTTCTTTGTCCTCGGCTTGGTCTTGGAGAATGTGGCGTATTCCGTTAAAAGATTTGGTAATACTCAACAAATTATAAAGGTCTTTTCATAATTGCTCCCGCTGTTTTCCGCCCTCTTGGTCGTAATAAACATCGTATTTAATATCGGCTAATTTAATTCCTCGTCCCTTGCTGGATGGTTCTTTTGATAAGGTTATTAAAGTCAATATACCAATCTCTCAACTGTTAATGGTGTCGGCTCATTTTTGTTTGTCGGGTTCCTCGGGCAGTATCAAAATAAAACGCTTTTTGCTCTGTCCTACATCTCATTTGATAGATTGGTAAAAATTATCCAAATCCTCGCATTGTTCGTCAAAATCGGCTCCTAACATTCCAGTTGCTTCTTTGTTATTACGAAAAACGACAAATCTATCACCAATCCAATTTTTTATATCTACTTGGGCGGGTTTTTCTCCGCTTCCGCCTCATATTTCCTCTTTACTGGCATCATCAATCAAAATAAAACGGGCTTCGGTTATTCCTCCCCTCGTTCTTTTTACGCTATTACTGACAACGCTGGCGATGTATCAGGTTTTATCAATTTCAATATATCCAATTTCTCCGCGTCTTACTAATTCATATTCAATATCGGGTCAATCATCAACCGCGGAACCATTGCCTTTTAATTGGCTGATGCCGACAAAATGATTTAAAAACTTTTTTCGTAAACTATCCTCCTAATTTCAAGAGTTTAATTGCGTATAATTTGATAAATCAAATATATCGAGATATTTATTAGTTCCCTTGTTATTTGTCATATTTATCTTGTCTTTTTATTCCTCGTCGTCGCTGGGGTCATTAATCGCTATCGTGCTTCCGCCATGTCCGACAATTGTCGCTATCGTGTTTAAATCTTTCTTAACTTCTTTTTTTCCGTTTAAAATTGATTTTCAAGAATTAACGCGGTCGGCTATTCGCTTTAATAGTGGTTTTACCTCATCAATCCGCTTCCTTTCGGTGTTTCTTTCGTTCCAATATCGCTCAATTTTAGTATCTAACGCGTTTAAATCGGCTACGCTTCATTTATTTTTAAGAGTATTTACCAATCCATCTAATACATTATATTCGGTGGTTTTATTCCCTAATGCGGTTATGGCGTCGGTGGCTTCTTTCGCTTTCGCATCATAATCAGCTTTATTTACCATGCCCGCTATCTTGGCATTTCTCTCGTTGATGGCTTTTTGAAGTTTCTTATTATCCGCCTCTATAACTTTATTGGCGGTGTCTAATTTCAATATTTCCGCTTCTAATGCTTTTTTTTCTGCGTCGCGGTTCTTTTTTTCGTCTGCCAATTCGTCCGTTAAAGTTTTTTTTTCGGCTTTTTCTTTATCTCTTTCCGTTGCCAACGCGTCCCGCTCGGCGATTAATAGGTTTATATTGTCCTCGTGGTCTTTTTTAAACTTTTTAAACTCATCAGGGTCATCAATTAAAGTCTGCAATTCTGTTTCGGGGGTTGCGGGTTTGTAATACTCAACCGCTTCCTCTCCGAAGTATAGATTATATTTTACCATAGCATTTATTAAAGGTTAACGGCTCCGCTTGATTATGCGGATTTCCATTTAACGGCATTTACAAAAGGTATCATTCCCATAAAACAGAAAAATCATTTAAATAAATAATTTTGAAGTCCCATGGCGTATCTATGTGTGTCAATATAAATCCCGTTCGCTGGATGGTCGATAGCAACTGCCATCTGATACGCTTTTTTATCATGTAGATACATCATATCCTTTCCTTTTAACTCGGTAATGATTACGCCCCCAAACATACTCTCAAAACTTACATATCCGATATTATTGCTGGGTGAATAAATTTGAGTTATTAACATTGAATGAATACGCGGACGCACTACAAATATTAAATCTTTCATCCCATAAGAACAAATTAATTTCTTGGCTTTGTTAAACTTGTCGGAATAATCTAACATTTTATAGGCTTGGGTGTTGACACTGTTTCAAATTAGGTCAGCATTATTGGCTCGGCTTACGGTATCCATCCCTGGCTTATAAAATGCCTCGGTATTAGTTAATATGGCTCCTTTATTGTCGGCTTCGGCGTTGTAATTGCCATCATCGCCCATATCATCTTTTCATTGGCTTACGAAATCATATTTAATCCGATTAAGAATATTTGACATCTTAACACCTAACAACGCATTTAATTCGCCTGGTCGTTCAAAGGCTAATTTTCCTAAATCCTCACTAAACTTATCCCCATAATTACCAAACTCTTTTAATGGTAAGGGATGGGTCAATACTTCGCCCTTGGTGAAGTCCTTATAATCCATGGTATCACTCCATTTAATCGGGTCGTTTCATAAGGTCGTTGTATAATTCGCTTGTCCCGCTTCTATTCTGATTTCGGGATTGTAATAATAACGCCATATTGGGCTTTCATTTTCCAAAACGCTAAATATTTTGGCGTTTAATATTTTGTTATCTATCGTGTCATAGAATAAGTTCTTGTCTACCATATTTTTAAGTTAAATTTCGTTAGTTAATATTTCCTAATTCACTTTAACCTAATTTCGCTTTATGGTGTTTATATATTATTTTTTCTTTGACTTTTTGTTTTTCGTTGGCATCAGTCCAGCTATTTATGCCACCACTTTCCACGAACAAATTACGAGCCGTGAAACCTAATAAGTTGCCAAAACACATGATAGAGAGACCTTTTTTGCCTTCTGCTACGCTCTCAATTTGCCCACTATTAGCATTTTGTCAGTAAGCTAAGTCATTTTTCGCCACTGGATAACTGCCATGCGACTTGTAAAGAGACTTCATTTCTGGGTCATTTTTGCCTTCTTTAATTTCTTCTTCGGTGGCTCGTTCAGTCGGTTTGCCACGTAAACAATAAGCCATTTCTACTTCTCCCTTGGCTCCGCCATGATAAACACAACCTCAATCTTGTAATCAACTAGAATGATGTTTTAAAGCACTATCGACTAATCCAGTAGTGGGACAGACTAGAATAATATGCCTTTCACCACCCCGAACTAAACAATTGATTAATTTGGTAGTTTTACCAATTCCAGTTCCAATTGCTAAATGTCCGGCATTACCTTTATCGCCGCCAATCACTTCAATGGTTTCTTCAACTTCCTTGACTTTGCCCATTAAGCCACTCTTAACAAATCGCTTGACCATTTTAGTGCCGATTTGACAGAAATGGAGGTTGGGATCGGTTAATTTATCGGGATTGAACGGATAACCTTTGGCATCTTTACTTTTTTTGTAAAAGAAGTCTAATAAATAAGCTCCTTTTTGGGAAATGTGGAGTTTATCTTCAGCTGCCGTTTTTTCTTTCGGCAATTCATAACCGCCTTGCTTGCTTAACCAGGAATGAGGCTGACCTTTTTCGTTGGTGCCGTATAATTGAGCATTCGGAGTGTTTAAGTCTTCTCATTTGACTCCTTCTTTAAAAAGTCCTAGGTTTTGGACATCCTGATCCGCGGCAATAAAATCATTCAATCTCTTGACAGTCATTGGCTCATAATTAGGAACATTTCAAGTATTTTGTAAATTGGTGACTAATTTTTTTAAAGTGGCTTCATCCAGACCACCATCTTTTGGGTCAGTTAAGGAATATCACAGATTTTCTCTTTGTTTGGTAAGGGCAGTGGTGATTTCTTGGGGTTTAGTTGGTGGTAAAAGATTAGTTTTTAGTGCTTGGAATTGTTGAACAATAGTGGCTTGATTAGCGTCTAAATCTCGTAAATATTGATAAGAGTTGATTTGTTTGACTAGATTGTCGACTTTGGCGATTTCCTGATCGATATCTTGCTTATTGACTTTTAAGACTTCAATGTTGGTAATTCCTTGGTAATTAGTTTGACTTTCAGTGATTTCTTGTGGATTAGTTCAACCATTGTCAAAGGCTTTTCTTTGGTCTTGACCGGTATTTGGAAGACCAGTCGGGGCAGTTCTTCATAATTCGATTAATTTGTCATCCAATTTAGTGGGATTTGCTCCTTGGAAGTATTGTTTAAACAAGGACTTTATTTTGTTATCTCTAATTTTCCCAACTTCTTCCCAACTACGGGTATCAGGAACTTTTTTTTCTTGGTAAGTAGTTTGGGTTTCGCTGTCAGCGGGAAATTTGTTTAAATTAGTTTCCGTTTCTATTCTTTTGACAATAAATTCGTGAACTTTATCGACTTCTTCCGCCGAATGTTTTAAAGTTTCTAAATGGGTGGTAGTTTGTTGGTATTCCTTACCCATCACCAATACTTTAGTGGTGTAGTTTTCAATAACTTTGTCATTGTTAATTAAGCCATTCGGACTGTTATATCAACCATTATTGTAGATTAATTTGGCTACTTCAATTGATAAAGTGCTTTGACGTCAATTGTCTTTTCAATCGGGCTTAATATTGCCGAGAGTATCGTGGTTAGTAAAAAAGTTTTCTCAGGCTTTTTTCCGGCGAACTATCGGAATATCCTTTAAAACTGCTTGGATTTTTTCTGGGGTGGGAGCTTTATTAATTTGGTTTTCCTCTAATTTAGTAAAATCACCACCGACAATTTCTTCACCTTTCAAGAGAGCATCTTTATAAACCCCTTCCGCAGTTTTTACATCACTACCATATTTATCCGCTCAGTAAGTTTTATCGCTAGTTTCGGTAATACCATGGTCTTGATAAAATTCCCTTCACGATTCAATCGCTTTAATTTTGGCGTTGGCTTCGGCTTGGAGCAGGGCAATTTCTTTATCCTTTTTGTAATAACCTTCTCGACCTTTGGGAATGCTATCGGCTGGTTCATCGGAATAAAACTTTTCTTGACCAATAATATTCCGCAGTTCTTTTAGGATTACCCCTTTGGCTTTTAATTCTTTTACTACCGCTTGAACTATTTGGGATTTGGCTCGGTAAACTCCCTCTTGGAATTTTTCTTTACCTCCTAACTTTTCTTCTACCAATTGGGAAGTAATGGTTTTAGCCTCGCCATCAGTTAAAGATTGTTTCAGATTTTGATTGTCTTGCTGTTTATTTCAGCCTCCGGTATACTCGCCGTTGGTAAAGTTTTTTTCACCGAAAACTTTGTGGATGTTGGAAGTGTCTTGTTGTTCATTTCAACCTCATTGGAACTTACCATTTTTGAAGTTAGTTTTGCCAAAAAACTCGTAAACGGTTTCTATCGCTACTTCTTTAACTTCTTTTTGAAAGTTAGAAGAACTAGTGATATCCTGAACATATTTCAAAACTTCTTCTTTATCTACTCCTTTGGGTAAAGTTTTAAGAAGTTTACTAAGTTCAGTTTTAATCAATTGCTGAAAATAGGCTTGATTGGCTACTTTTTGTTTAGCAAGTAGGGTCTTTTCAAAGATTTTTAACTGGGATTGAAGGGGATAATTCATGCTCTATTTTTCAAGAGCCGAAAAAGGATAACCAGATGGAGTCAGAATTACCCTTTCCCAGCCCTGGGAAAATAACTCCATCTGTGTTACTATATTATAATTTTATTTCATTTTTGATTTTTCTTCAATAAATTCAACTTTTTCTTCTTCATCTTTTACAACTCAGAATTAGTTGTGTCTCAATACTCTATTGCTCTTTTCATTTTTTTCTTTAACCTCCATGCCGCCACCCTTTCTGCGTCACCCTCGTATTTTCTCCTCTTTTTATTAGCAATTCTAACTCCTCAATATCTATCTTGTTTCAATTCATCCTGATATTCGTCAGTATCTTTTCAGCCAAATCCATGAATATCTACCCTTTGACCGTATCGGTCTTTTAATTCGGTTTTTGTTTTATTCGGATTAACACCTTCGCTGTATAATTCCTTTAATTGATCCAAAGCCTTTTTGTATTTAATGCTAGTTATTGGAGCAGTGGCCAAAATTGTCTTGGCTCGCATGACTCTAACTCTTTCGGCTCCGGTCAAAGCACGACCATGCTTATATTTGGATGGCCGACCTACTTTTTGGGTTCAAACTGCCATATTCTTAATTTTATGTAACGAAATTATTTTTTAAGGAATTGACCTTTTGAACCCCGTATAATAGGGGGGATAAAAGGGCTAAAAAGTGTAACGCCCATTGGGGTGCAAAAAAAGGTGAAAAAAGGAGTTTTGGGGGTTTAACTAGAAAATTTAAGGGATTGGAGAGGTTGAAGATTTTGCAAGAACTATTTTTTTTCTCCTCCTTTAAATTTTACTTAGTTTTTATTCAGTTTTTAACTTTGTATATAAATTTATCAGGAGTGGTTAAAATTGAGTAAAAAGATAAGTAATTTTAATATGATTACTTTACTTATTACTTTTACATTTACAATTGGCTAATTTTTGCTTTAAATAATGATACTTTTGGTAGATTTTAAAATAACCACTATTCTTTTGCCTTCTTAATTTTTGAAGTTCTTTAAGTTCTTTGGGGGTGCGAATTATTTTGGGACGGCCAGCCATTATTTTAAAAGATTTTTTTCCTATTAATGGTTAAGTTCTTTTTTTATTTCAGAAGTTTCTTTGTTGATTACCAATAAATCATAATTAGGAGTTAATTTTTCCAAGTAGAATATTAATCGAGCAATAGAAAAATCATTTATCTTGCCTCGGCAAATATCATACAACTCCTCTTCGGAAATTGCTAACTTTTCGGCTACTTGCTCTAAAGGCAATTTATTTTTTAGTTGGTAGGTCAAAATTGATTTACAGAGTTTATATTTAGTCCTTTCTTCCAAAGTAGGATTTTCGAGCAAACCAATATTCCCTCCTTCATAATTATCGCTATCCAAACGAGCAATTATTTCTGCTTCGGTTAAGTTTTTAAAATCTTTATTTTTTTTCATGGTTATTTTTCCTTTTTATATTTCTTTTTGGTGCGATGGCAAGTTTTAACTCAAATAGAATTATCATTATCTTTCAAATATCAAATTAACTTATAACTTTTTCTATCATCATCTCAGGCTGGCTCATATTTAAAGAATTCTTTATCGTCTTTGCGACCTTCCGGAATAAAAGGACCTTCAATTTCTAACTTCCTAACAAATTTTTGAATTAATTCTAGGGTAATTCCTTCACGTCCCGGCTTTTTTCAAACATGATCGCTAATTTGGAGAATGATTAACTGACGGTAATTAATGAGTAAATAAGGCTTACCTAACCAATCTTGGCAAGGATAAGGAATAAAGTTTTCTTTTTGGGAACTTTCCATCACTTTTATATTTTATTTTTTTATAATATAATTTATTCTTTCAACTCCTCTATTTCCATATCACTTTCTCTATATTATATATTTTACACTTTTTAACCAAGCGCCAGCTCACTTTTTTTTAAAAACTCTCGTATTTACACGGACTTAGACTAAAAAATACCCCCTATTTTTACCCTGTTTTTTAACCAAATTTGAGAATATATTTTTGACTAATATTTTTATCTTAAATAATCTTTGATTATTTTATTCCTCCTCTTTTGGGGATATTTCTGACCTTTTGGACAATAATATTTCATGACTAAAATTCACTCGGGGGGGTTTTTTTTGGCTAAAAACTCTTCGATTAGCATTTTGCTAGTCATATCTGCGAAAAATAACATGTTTTTTTCATACCATTTTAATAATTTTCTTTGTCACTCCCATTTTTCTCTATCCCTTTTTATTTTCTGCTTGCTCCTCATTCTTTGCTCAGAAGTGATGCAATATTCAGGTAGATTAGCAATTAATTCTTTATCTCTGCCCGAAATTTCTTTACTATTTAATGGAATAAAGTAAAAATATTGTTGCTTGCTGTGATAAAAAACACAATCATTAAAAATTCACATGGGAGTAGCTGAATTTTTATGTTCTACTATTTTTAAATCTTCTGGTTTTTGGAAAAAATTATCTCAATTATCATCCTCGTAAGTGGGAATATCCTCTTTTTGTCGAGCTATTTTTTTTAATTGTATTCTGGCATTGCCTTTTTTTAACTCTATGGTTCAGGCTCATTCTAGTCATTTGTCAAAATTACTAGGTCGGTTTTTTCAATACCATTTTTCTAGTTCTTTTAGTTCTTCGCTAAAAAAAAGTACTAACATTCAACAATTTCGTCAACTATCATTAGGATTACCGGTGAAAATCTTTTTAGGTTTAGTTAATCGTCCTAGACTTTTAACTGCTTCCATATATTTTTTTGACTCATCTAATTTCCATCCTTTTCCTTCCTTAATTTGGTTGCGAGTGGGAATACATTCATCAAAAAAAATAGTCTTAATCGGATTATTGATTAGGGTTCGGGCTTGTTCTGGCGAAAATAAGTCTAAAAAATGACATTTTAAATCTCCTTTTTTATCAGTTGGCTTTTCTTTATATTGAACTCCTTTTCAGATTGAATTTCATTGTAAATAATACTCTCCTTTTGCTGGCCGATGACCTTTTCAAATCACTTCGTCAAATTCTCGAATAATTTTATTAAAATATTCCTTGGTTTGCCTAGTCGGTTCATCTCTATTTCTCATAATAAAACAGCCTTCATAATTTTTATCCTTAGCAATGTTAAATAATTCATGGATAGCAGTTTGTTTGCTTTTTCCTGTTCCTCGATCATGAATAATATTAACTCATTCATCATCGCTAGTAAACAATCGTCAGAAGTTTTTAAACTGTATTCTAAATCAATTAGGGTTAGGATTGACATCATCTGGGCAATCAATTACATTTAATTCAGGTGGGATAACAATTTTACTGTTCAACTCCTCAATATTAGTAATTTGGATTGATTTTTGCTTATCTTTTTTATTTTCACTAATAAAAGCATTCGAGGGCTGGTAATTGCTTATATTTTGTTTTACTTGATTATTATCGTTTTCAAAATCAGGTTCCTCCTCACAAATATCGCAAATCATTCCAATTTTTCCCATTCTACCCTCATTTTCATCATATAATTTATAGCAAAGTTTGCAAACAAAACCCTCAGTATTTCCTCCAACTTGTTCTTTTTGAGAACTAATTATCATTTTTATCTTTCTTTTTCACGATAAAGTTTTCTTTGAATTCTTTATTTCAGTTTGTTTGGCATTCCTCATCGTATTTCCTAGCAAACAATGTTTTATCGTTTCCCACTTCTTTAATTTCACCAATTTTTACTGCTTTAACACTAGTTGCTTTCAAAATACATTCCTTACCAGCAATTAAAAACCTTATTTCCCCACTTTCTAACTTTTTAATTAAATTGAATAATAATTCTTTGCTTTCCATAGACTTTATGCGGCTTTACCACCATCTTTTTTAAAACAATTATAACAAAGTTTTCTATTTTTGTCAATTAGTTTTCGGCATTTATGACAGTAATTTTTATCTTTACCTATTTACTTTTATAGATATTTATAATTTATCCAACTATCATTCATACTTTTTCTTTTCCATCGCTTCTTTCCTCTTTCGCATGGCAGTTTCTAAATTAGTTTGGTAAAGTCTAATTTCAGCCAACAAGGAAAGGGTATCAGTAAGGTTATTGGTAGAAAAATATTTACGAATTTCCACTTCAATAGTGTTGTTAATTCACACTTCTTCCGAATTTAACATTTTACTGAACTTGATTGACCTTTCTGCTTCATTTTCCGCATAAAAAGGTTTAGTTGCTCCCAATTTTTCTAATTCTTGCTTAACTTTATCCGGTATTCTTTTGTCATTCTGATGGTAAACAAAGTATTTTTTAGTAAATTCTTTGATTTTAGTTTTTAATTCTTGATTCATTTTCCTTATTTATTCCGCATTTCTTTCAAAAGTATTTCATGTCATAACCTTTTTGGGGATTATAACACTTGCTGCAGATATGGGCTTTAACGGCTGCTCTTTCATAACTATATTGGTGATGTCCTTCGCAATTTTCGGGGGTTAATTCAATTCTTTCGGTCACTTTATTTTTCTTCTTTTTCTTATACTTACTTCTTATTGTTTAACTTGCTAGTGTTTTTATTAAGACTTAGTTTTACCACAAATGATTTGCTGCTATCAAAATTTAAATCGTAATTGGTTTGGGGAAGAGAATCATACTTAGGAGTTAAAAAAGACTTTATATCAATATCCGAAATAGGAATAATTAAGGCAATAATTCCATTAGATAGATCAAAACCCATACTTTCCTTAAAAAGAGATTTCAACTCTAGTTCCAAATTCGGAAAGGAATTATGTGTGCCGACCAATAAGCTAAAATGGTAAATCAATACTTTTTCTTTGCTAGCAGAGTTCTTTAAATAATTAATAATTTCTCCTCATTTGCTAAATTCCTTAATGTTTTCTTTTTTATAAATTCCTAAATTTGATAAAATGTCAAGTGCTGATTTACCAAAACTTTTTTCTTCTTTTTCCGCTAACTTATTGATATCCATAATTATTTTTTTCTTCTTTTTCTTATATTTTCTTCTGGTGCTAATTGGCTTTTTAAAACTCATTATTATTTTTCTTATCCTCTCAACCATGTTTTTCTAATAACTGGTTAACTGGGTCAGGAGTGATTTTGCCAGTTAGTAAATTTAAACGCATTAGTTCTTGGCCTCCCTTGTCCTCAACAAAAAGTCCAACAAAACCATCATCACAGTCGCATTCTTCTCTTTTAATTTCTCCCATTCTCATTCGCTCACTTATCATTATTAATAATTGCTCGCTGGTTGGTTGAGTGGGTAGCAAAGGTTTTTCCTCCTTGGGTTCCAACAACTCAATATCTTTATTCATTGCCTCAAGATAGTCATTTATATCCTGATAATTATTTAATTTTAAATGTTTGGCCTGATAATTGGCTCTGCTGAATGATTTGTAGAGTAAATAAGCTTTGAGATATTTGCCGCCCTCATATTCACGCAGTCGCTCCATGGTTTCTATTTCTTTGATTTCCTCCAACTTTCTAAATAGAGAATTGAGAAACTGTTTTTGCTTTTCGTTGTCATTGACTGCTTTACTAATTAATTGCTGTAATTTTTCTTTTAGTTCTTTTGTTTTCTTTTTTCTTTTGTCTAGCCAAAGACATAACTTGCCTTCTGGTCATTACCATACCTATAATTGATATTGGTTATTCGTATTTGCTAAATTCCATTTGGATTACATTTTCCGCAGAAGTATTTATTAATGCGAGGTTCAAAACTTAATTGAGTATTACCGCAACTTCTGCATTTAAGTGTTCTTTTGTCCGCTTGCGGGGGCTTTGGCTCATTAGGTTTTTTCAATTCAGGATCATTTTCGTCAATTACTCTAATTAAAAAGAATTTCGATAGTATATATTTCATGGCATAAGTTTCGACCGAACCTTTGGCTTTGGCGAGGTCAGTATTATTTCCACTGGCTCAAAATTTATAAGTTAGAGTTTGCCCCACCTCATAGTCGCTAATTTCCATTTTTTTCAAGTATCTTAAAAAGTGCTGGTTGCCCTCCTTTTCCCATTGTAAAGGTTGGGTGTCATCATCACTTATTATCATTGTTAACTTTTGCTCAGTTAATAATGGCTTTAATGACTTTAATACTTGGCTTTCCTCAAAGTATTTATAATTAGTGTGAGTGCTTTTTATTGCTTCATCTTTTACTAGAGAACCAATTGCTCCCTGAATTTTGCCTATTTTGGTTAATAATTCTTTGTTTTCGTTCATAGTTTAATACTTGGTAGTGCTATCAGGTCATTTTTGCCCTTTTTTTCTCATTTCTCCCTTAGTTTTTATTGTACTCTTTGTGTCTTTTTTCCCCATATTTAGTGCGGGTGCTAATTGGTTTTTTGAAACTCATCTATCTTATTTTTGGGATTGTTTAATTCTTCTTGTGCTTGGGTCATTTTTTCTTTAATTAATGGTTTGTTGTTTTCGTCAAATCCATTTATTCCTCGTAAAGATTGAACTTCTTCATAATAGGTAATCCCTCTTTCTTTTTGGGGTTTTTTTAGGACATAATAGCGAGGATATTCGGTTTCATAAATTCTTCGTCAGCATATTCAGCACCAATCGGAGTCATAACGAATAATTGAGGGTAAAAAGATGCCGCACATTCGGCAATTTCTTTCTTTGACCTCATTTTTGGACTGAGTATTTTGTTGCTTATTTATATTATATCCGTAAAATTTGGTAGAACAATAATTACATTTCGCAGAGTTTTTCTTAATTCATTCTCCGCAATTACAACATTGTTTTAATAATTTTTTCAAGTCATTTTTATTATTTAAATTAGTATTCATAATTATTCGTTATGCTTGTGTAGATATTAATTGCTGTCTTTGGAAGAGAGGCAGCCAACTCTGATAAATACACAAACCCCATTTATTTGCCGAGTGGGGAACTCGATACTATTAAAAATATGATAGTTTCAACCAAATATAAATACTTAATCAACAATAGTGAAGGGGATTGCTCCCCATGTTTAGGTGGGAGTAAAACCGGATTTTCTGAAAATATCGCCGACCAACTGGTGAGATTGGTTATTAGTGAATGGCGATAACTTAATTTGGAATTACTCCCATATTTAATACTCCTGCATTAATCCGATTAAGAAAAAAAATACGTCTATCCAAGACGATTTTGGACGGGGAGTAACTGGAACCCAAAAACAATCTAATGAGGTACTTGGCAATTGGGACAAATTTTACTTTCTAACCATAACACTCTAACAATTCCTCTTTTTCCTCAGAAGAGGAAATTTTTGTTTCTCTATTTCTGATTTCTTTTCGTATTTCCTTAATCAGCTCTTTTTTATTCTCAAATTTACAATCACTCTCTTCTAATTCATGAAGACTGACTAAGGCACAACTTCAACAAAATTTCCTTTCTTCTCAGGCGATACCGATTGGTCTTTCGCTAATTATTCAGATTTCTTTTTCTAAATGGCATTTAAAGCAGTAACCCCACGAGGAGGGTGGGGTCAAGGTGAGTAGAAAAGGTTGGCAATTAATGGTTAGCGTTCAAGTTTTAGTCATCCTCGCTAGTTGATGAAGTTTGCTCCTCAGTTTCTTCTTTTTCTAAACTTTCTGCTTCGGTTGGACCACTCCAGCAATTACTGATTGATTTTCGGAAAGTAATACCAATAATGGAAAGTATTCCTAAAACCGATCCTCAAATTGGAGCATAATATCCCATGGCATACCAAGGTGCTGGTTCATCATTACTAGGAGGAGTATTTTGTTGTTGCTCAGTTGGTTTTTCTAGTTTGCTTTCATCTATTTTGCCAATGGCACACTCGTAAAGATATTCATCAAATTTAGCTTTTTCGCTATCTTCCAATTTATCTTTGCTATCTATTTTTTGCTTACCGCCTTTTTCACTTCAGGCAAACTTCAATCATCGTTCTTTTTTCTTGTCTTCACTCAATTTATTGTATTCTCATTGATAAACATAAAGTATTACCTCTTTCGGGGTTTTTTCTTTAAATAAGTCAGTTAGAGTTTTTAACTTGGCATCTTTGCCTTTAATGAAAGCAAGGAAACCAGAATTAATTTCTTTGAATTTGTCGGTAGTGCCATCGGCCTCTTTTTCAAAAACAGCAACTTTTTTAATTAAACTCTCGATGGTAGCGGTGTTGCTAAAAACATTCTGCCCATCTTTTTTGGCTTTTCATTGGTCAATTTTGGCTTGGCCGAAAACTGTTTCTAAACCCGCCTCATATTTTTTTACTATATTTTGTCAGTCTTGCCTGTTTTCTTGGGGTGTTTTTTGGTCGATTGCTGCTTTTAACTGGATTTTTGCTTGTTCTTCGCTGGGAGTTAACTTGACTATTTTTTCTAGTTCGATTAAGTTGTCATAAAATCAAGTTAGGTTTAAAACATCAAAATGGTTTTTGCCCTCCCTAATTTTGGCTATCTTTTGTTCAATAGTAGGATTTTCGTTAGTACCCTTTTCTCGAGCGACCTCTCTTCAGCAACCAACAAAGCCATTAGAAGCATATTCTGTAATAACCTCTTTAATTTCGGTCAGAACTGTAACATTGTTAGTTAAAACCGAACTAGTTTTTTCTTCATCGCCATGTTCGAGAAAGCGAACATTTTTTATTTTGCGCTCAATTTCAAACAATTCTTGAAAGGTGCGACGATTATCATTAGCATCATCAACTTTTTTAAAGCCTTGGGCGATTTTGTGAGTATCAGTTAACTCCTTGGCTATGGCAGTTTTTCTAGCAATTGCTAGATCTTCAATAATTTTTTTCTTATCAACAACTTTAGCTCGTTCCTCTTTAATTTCCTTGCGTTTTTTAATGATTTCTTTTTGGTTATCCTGCATTTCACCCTTTAAGGAGTCATACTCGATTTGTAATTCGGCAGCTCGCACTTCTAATTCAGCCAAAGTTTGGGGATAAATGTCTAAGGTATATTCGTGATCTGTTCCGCTATCATTTCAAGTGAAAGTATATTTATCCTCATCATAACTTCTGAGATCAGCAGCTAAATTAGAGTAGGGATCGTTAGTGAAACTACTGATAAGTTTGGCTCGTTGCGAAGTGTTGCGTTTCGCTACTAAACTGCTTACTAACCGGAATCAACCACCCAATCCATCATAAATCTTTCATTCTTGAACTTTGTTTCAATCACCTTCGCTACGATAAAGTTTAACCTTATCATTATAATTTATTCCTCAGCTTTCTAACTCAGCTTTGGTGTAAGCCAGTGGTTTGTCATCAGTGTCATTTTTAACTGGTAATAAAGCATATTCTGCCCCTTTATCAATATTTTTAATACTGTCATCTAAATTATTAAATAATTCAGTATTGTAGATATCTTCAACCAAATCTAACAAATTAGTTAAGTCAGCAGCTGTAAATTTCAAAGGAGTAGTGGCACCTGGAGCAGTATAGATTTCATCATTTTTGTTTTTGGTGTAATCACCACCGAATTCGTGTTCAGTTCTAATTTCGGTGCCGTTAACGTCTAATTCACCTTGATCATTAACTTTTTTCTTGCTCTCAGTCAAACCATGCTCGGCGATCAGTTTAATTCGATCCAAAGTAGTTCCTACTCAGCCTTTATAAGTGGTTCAGTCGGTATGTTGAGCCGGATTACTAGTTCCCAACGATCCGTCTTCTCGGTCTTTTAAACTCTTATATTTATTACTATCGGAGTCATTTAACGCTGCCAAAACTTGTGCTTTATCTATTTGTCCCATCGCTTTTACTATTCGGGCTAACAATTTAATCAATTCCTGTTCAGTAATAATTGTTGCACGGTGCTAGTTAGATTGTTCGTTAACTGCTGACTCAGAGTTATTGGCTGGTTTTCCATAATCTTTAGCTTGTTCTTGGCGTTGTTGAAATTTAGTAATGAAATCGAGATTGGTTGGTTTTTCCTCTTCCTTGTTTGCTTCCTTCTTGATTTCCGGAGAGTAGTATCTTCAATAGACTTCACCATTACGATCTGTTTGTGCTTGGGCAATAAACTTTTGAATGCCAATTCTTAAATGGTAAGTAGTTTGGTCATCCTTTTTTTCTTGCCACATCAGAACCCTGGTTTTGTGCGGGTTAATGACATGACAAGCACATTTGCTTTCGGTAAATAAAGTAGTGATTAATTGTTCTAGTTCAGGAGCGAGCGGAGTGAAGTTCATAAGGGTGGGTTAGTTGCAAAAGAAGTTTATTCTTCCGCTTTTTTCAATAATTTGTTAGTTAGTTTGGGGACAATGCCAGTTTGGTCGACAAAATAAGCTAAACTTATTCCTAAGATTAGGTAAGTTGGTCATCAGTCGACGTAGGATTTTCAAGTGCTTTGATTTTCGTTTTGCATAAGGTTTTATTTCAGTAATTGTTTACCAATGACATAGACGCCACCCGCGATAGCCAGTGAGATAGTCAGACCAGCAATGGCATAGCCAAAGGAGGTTTTGATATCTTCCCGGTAGAGGATTTCTTCCCGGCGAGCAGTGAGGAGTGGATTGCGATTATCTTTAGTAAAGGGTTTTCTTGCTAAGTTTTCAATATTAGGCATGGTTATTTTTTTTTAATTATTTCTAAAATTTCAGTTAGTAACTGATTAGTTTGGATTTGATTGAGATTAAATTCTTTGATTTGCTGGATTAAGGGGTTTAAGTCGGGTAGGAAGGACATAATTTTAATATTCTTGATTTTCGTTATTGCTATGCAATTCAATTTGCTTTTGCTCTTTAGTGTGAGTTAGTTTGAGCGATTTAAATTGGTTGGTTAAATTAGCTAAATGCTGGTTGGCGTTAGTTTCTAAGCTAGTTATTCGCTGACTTAATTGTTGTTGGTTATTAACTACTGTCTGTAAACTAAATTGCACTTGCTGAATAGCGTTTTGGATGTCGGCCATAGTTCCGGATAATTGAGGAACCTTTTGTCCGGTAAACTGTTCAAAAACCAAAGGAGCAAAAGGTAAGCACTGGCCAATAATGTTCATCAGTCCGGTTGATTTAGTTTCGGTCGGTTGATTAGATTGGTTGGCGGCTGATTGATTAGCACTTTGGTTAGTTGGCTTTTCAAAACCACAATTGTCGGTTTGATTATTATTTTTTTGGTTGGTTTGTTCAAATAGGGGCATAAGGGTTTAGTGAGCTAAATTAACTAAGGTATTTAAGCCAAAAGCTAAACCGCCAACAGTGGGTAAGTATTTAGTGTACTCATTATCTTTTTGGATTTGCGAGCCATAAAAATAAAGTGCTACACAAACTGCTGCTACTACTAGCAAAATTATTTTCTGATCCATAACATTTTTATTCTAAAAATCTTAGAGAAGTTATTCTATAACTTTCCATCTGATTTATTTTTTTTTATTTTAACTTGTATTTCTTAACTATCTGGTCATTGAGAGCTTGCTTTAACTTACTAAACGGTTTAAAGTTTAAGCGGCAGTAAACATAATTTTGACCATCTCAACCACATTTTTGTTGCCGTTCTTTTTTGGTGAATTTACCTAAGGAGCCTAATTTAATACTTTGGCCATCTTTACTGGCTAGTAGCGAATTAAATAAGTCGGATTGGACTAACTGATAGGCTAATTTAATATCTTGCTGAGTGTAATGGTTGGCTTTCATTGAGAATAATAATGGGTTGGGGTTGAGTTTTTTTAATTTTTGGTTGAATGGGATAATCAATAATTAGCGAGTTGGGAATATTCATCATTTAACTACATTTTGTCGAGTAGTTCTAAAGGGGAATTGGGAATTCTGGGGCAAAAATAGTGCTGGAGTAGAGAGTTTGGGAGTTAAAAGTGGTGTGGTGGTAGAGAGATTTGGGGAATAAAAAAACTTAATATGGATAACTTTCTTTTAGAAAAAAGTTAACAAATATTTAAGCAAGAACCTTTAGAACTAGAACATTTATCTTTTTTTTGAGTGAAAAAATACTAAAATAACCTTTACCAATAAGGCTTTTTTACTAATTTTTCTTTTTAGATATTTTTTTTAGTTTAGTATACACCTTTTAATTTATCATGCCCCAAGAAGACCCTCCCTATCCTCTTTTAGGCGGGGAATGGATAACTCGGGTTAGGTCGCTACTTTCATAGTGTTATAAATTGATGTATGGGATAATTTAGTGTAAGTTTATGTTACTTTTTCAAAAACAAAGAAGTCCGGGGACGCTCCCCAGTATAGGGACGGATTTCTCTTTTGATTTTGGTAATTTCGG